GTAAGTGTGTGATAAGCTAAGGATCTTGTTGATGATGGAGAGTTTATCTTGAATCATCCTTAAATGTAACCACAAGTATCCTTATAAAAGAAAAGCAGTCAGTGGGGCTGTGGCTCAGTGGAAGAGCTCTTGCCTAGAATGTACAAGGCCCTGTGTTCAACCCCCAGCCCTATAATAAAATAAAACCATAAAGCAGGGTGTGGTGACCCACACCTTTAAACTGAGCACTTGGAGTCAGAGATAAAGGAATCTCTGAATTTGAGGCCAGCTTGGTCTATAGAGTGAGTTCCAGAACAGTCAGGACTACACAGAGAGAACCTGGTTCAAAAATAAATAACTAAAATGATAAAATAAATTTAAATATAAGATAGTAAAGCAGAAGGTGGATGTGCATGAGTATGCAAGCCACTGCACTCCTGGCTTCGGGATGGACGAAGGGCCAAGGGATGCAAGCACATAGGTGGAGAAACTTAAAGGGCCCAGACGCATCCTCTTGAAGGCTCTCCTGAGACATCTGACCTTAACACCTTGACATTTGTTTCCACCTTGAGAGTCCCAGGGTGCTAGAAGAAACAAGATCACTGAGTTTGCTGTGTCCACTTGCAGTCCTCACCGTAGATCATTCATCCACCCCCATGGGTCTGAAGTTCATCATATGCTAATAAATTCAAAACCTTTTCTCCACCCCTGACTTTGATTGCAGGTCCGTGGGTCCTGTTTGGTAGGGTTGTTGTAACAGCTCCCTGCACAGTGCCATTCTCGTGCCTTCCACACACTGTCCACAGACTGTCTGTTGCTATGTTCTTCCAAATCTGGTCAGCTCACGTCCTGGTGAGCACTCTAACATCTTTCCATTACACTTTTAATGGCTCCAAACTCTTTACCAGGTCTGTGAGGCCCAGCCTGGTGGGGCCCATGCCCACCTCTCTAGCTTCTTGGGTTCTCTTCTGCTCCCGCTTTTTATCAGTAGCTGCTCCTGGGAGTTCTTGCTTCAGGGCTTTTGCACATGCTCCTTTCTGTGACTTTTATTCTCTTGGCTCTCTCCAGGATCCCATTCCTCTCTCTTAGGTTTTTACTTCAGACACGAGTTCCCCAGACTGCCTTCTCCACCGTGGTCCCTATCTCTGTTACATCCCATCTCCGATGTTCTCCTTTGTGGCATCCTCATGCTATGTAATCATTTTGTCTGTTAGCTTCAGTTTCCTCTGTTGTCTTTGGCGGGCGTGGAAGCTCCCTGGAAGTGAGAACTATTGATCTGTTCTGCTTGTTGCTGCTGCACCTGCAGAGCAAACAGCCATGCACTGCACAGCAGCTGCTCAGCAAATATTTCTCCAAGGAGTGGGTGACGATGTGCACAGCTCAGGCAGCCCAGTGAGCTAGACTGTTTTGGCTTCGACGGTTTTCATTGCTAAAGATCTTGTAATCAAATGCCAAGGATGTCAAGCAAGCACACCAGAGTTTGGGAGGCTGCCTGTAAGCCACACCCACCGTGCGTGGGTCACTCTGCTGCCAGGAAGGGATAGGGCAGGGCAGACTTGATGTCATTTATTCTCCAAGTGCTCCTTATCATTATCAGAAGGCAGTGCCATCACAAAACAAAGGGCATGAGAATCTCTCTGTGTGTCTCTGTCTGTCTGTCTGTCTGTCTGTCTGTCTCTTACACACACACACACACACACACACACACACACACACACACACACAAATATTTCCATAGTGGTTCATTACTGGTGCCAACACACAATTCTATTGCAAGATGGAATATTAGGAGAATCTGAGTACAGGAGTGAGGTGTATAAGAACTCTGAGTCATTTGACCACTTTTTTCTGAAAATCTGAAAATAAACTAAAGCCAAATTGAAATCTGGGCTTGGGGAGATGGCTCAATTGGCAGAGTGATTGCCCCACAAATACGAAGACCTGTGGTCACATCCCCACAGCGACGGAAGGAACCAGGCTCGGTGGCACGTGCCTATGATGGCAGTGCTGGGGAGGCAGAGGCAGGAGGACCTGGTGCTTCTTGGTCAGTTGGTCTTGCTAACCCAATGCGCTTCAGCTTCAGTGGGAGAACTTGTCTTTAAAAAGAAAATAGGGTGGGGAATGAGAGAAGAACATCCCTGACTAGACCTCTGCTTTCCACACACAGACACACTTCAAAACCTAAAGTCTACTTTGAAAAGAAGAAAAAAACAACACTGCCTATGCTTTAACTTGACTTGTTCAAGTCCTGAGATTGTTAATGTTAAGGGTGTACAATTCAGGAGAGGTTATTAAAAAAAAAAAACCAGCATCCCCTCATTTGGATGGTCTCAGGTAGTCCAGGCTGCCCAGTGTTGTTGCTTGTTTTACTTTTGGGGGGCCCACCACCCAGCTCCCAAATAAATTACACATGGATGTTTATCTTTAATTAGAAATGCCTGGCCTTAGCTTGGCTTGTTGCTAGCCAGCTTTCCCTAACTTTAAATTATCCCATCTGCCTTTTGCCTCTGGGCTTTTCCTGTTCTCTTACTTGTGTGAATCTTACTCTTACTCTGTGTCTTGCTGTGTAGCTGGGTGGCTGGCCCCTGGAGTCCTCCTCCTTATCTCACTCCTTCTTTTCAATTCTCTCTTCCCAGATTTCTCCTTCTATTAATACTCTTTGCCTGCCAGCCCCACCTATCCTTTCTCCTGCCTTGCTATTGGCCATTCAGCTCTTTATTAGACCATCAGGTGTGTTAGACAGGCACAGTAACACAGCTTCACAGAGTTAAACAAATGCAATGTAAATAAAAATAACACACCTTAAAATAACATTCTACTACAACCCAGAATTCACTGTGTGGACATGAACAACCTTGAACTCTGGTCCTTCTGCCTTCCCCTCTCAAGTGCTCCTTGATTGTGTGCTCCTACACTCCCTTAGATCCCATTTGATTCTAAGGACAATCTGTGAGGGAACCTATGGGAACATCCTTATTTGGGTGACAAGTTCAGGCTTATAGATCTCCAGTGAAACATCCCTGGTCACACAGCACCTAAGAGATGAACCAAGCACTGGGCTTATTGTTTTTACCTTCTGGGTTATTCCCAAGAACGCTGGCCCAGGCCAGGAATTTTTTCACCTGAGTTTTTGGAGTAACTATCATGCCCTTGTGTACCATTCATTTCTGCCGTCGGTTGAAGGTTTCTTTACTTCTCGTGTACGCATTGAAAGCCTCTTCACATCGACTCCACCCCAATCCTCAGTACAGTGCAGGAGCACAGTGTTTTAAAGTAGAACTGTCTGTATTATTTCCCTCTAAACACTACCTACTGACAAAGTTCAGACTATGTGCTGGTCTTTTCACCTTTGACCCCACAGCAGTGTCAGGTGTCTCTTCTTCCTGGTTTTAAGTTCACCAATCTTTGCTTGATGCCTTAACCAATGTACAGGAAGGAAGGCAGTTTATAAAACAGCCAAGACTCAAACTCCAACCTCAGAAGTTCATAGGTGATTTCAGAGCAGATATCCAAGCCACCACCATCACCTGCCCAGAGTGAGCTGGATGCCAGAGAGTTAGGAGGCAAGTACCAAGAGAGTGACTGGCTCATTCCAACTAGGGGGAGGGGCCATTTCCCCTCTTGGATGAGTTGATCCTGCAGGAAGAGGACAACTGCCTTTATGACTGCATGCATGACTTACTGGTTCCTTGAAAACAGTCATTGCAGCTCAGCCTGCCCCAGACAGACTCATCCTCCCAGGCCCCAGCAGCCTGGCCCATCGCTGTCCCCACGTGCCCTGAGGGGACTAGACAGGGGAGTGGAAACCGGGCCACACAAACACATTCTAGTGACAGAGATTCATTTTTTGACTACTTGAATGAAATTAATAAAAGCATGCCACTTTTATTCCCAACACTTTACAACCATTTGGAGAATGGCTTGGAGGGTCTGGAGGATATCTTCCTGTGGGCAGTTAGATGTTGGTGGGGTAAACTGGGGTGCTGGTTGCTGGGTGTGCAAGTGGGGAGCTGTGCTAAAGAGAAGCCCAACAATTCAGGCTTAGTTGGGGGCGGCAGTCAAGAGTGATAGAAACGCTAAAATTGTAGCTCCAGGCTTCTGTCTTGGGGCAAGCGCCAACAGCAATGGTTAGGGAAACGTTGAAGAAAGAGTGTTGAGGTTGAGGTAAGGATTGATTGTCTGTGAGCTTCACCAGTGCAGGGCTGTGGAGGTCTTCTGAGGGCTTTAGGACTAGTCCGGTGGAGAGGTACTCGCAGGCCTTGGATTTACCACCCCCTTAGACCCTGCTGATGTACACAGCCCAGAGAGGGTGTCCGTGCCTGGCCCTTCATCTTCCAAGGCAGCAAACGGCTGGAGCATTCTTGACTGTCTCATTATCTACTTCCAGTGAGGCATTCAGAAGCAACTCTCCGTAGCTCGTCAACCACACATCCACCAGTTGGTACTCCTTTGCGGCCTTGGCCACTGCTTTGGACAGAAGGGTAGAGCAAAGAGCAAAGAGCAGAGGGGCTGGGCTTGAGACCAGTCCCACACTGCTCACCCCATTCTCTGTCTCTCAGGCTTACAGAACTCTGGAAAGGTCCAGGCCCGCCTCTAACATACTTTCGGTCAACACCAACTTTTTATGGCACAGGCTGTTCCTTGAAGCTCTTACGGAACCCGGACTGCATCTTGGGGTATGGCACTCTGGTAGAGCGCTTGTCTAGGCGGCAGCGGTGCACAAGACCTGGGTTCATCTTCAGCATCACACGCCCACACAATGGTGGGCGAGGCTTGGAAAGGAGCTAGCTCGTGCTCAGGGGAAGGGACTGCTTCAGAAATGACTGGAAACAATTTTTTTTTTTTTTTAAATCCTGTATATTAAGAGTTAGGAGCGCAGGGGTAGGAGGGGCGCGACTGCCCTGAGGGCGACAGGGTAGGGCGATCCTTCACTGGTCCGGACTCCAGGGTCGCGGTGCAGCCGCGCCCACCCGGCCCGCGTAAGCGCGCTTCCGGAAACTGCTCGCCTGGGAACCCGGTTTCCCGGCGCAGGTTCCGGAAGAGCTCGGTTCCCCGAGCCGAGTGTGCAGTGCAGCCACGGGCTGCTGTGGCCGCTGGGGCGAAGTGCTTTGTTCCTGGCTCGTTGTTGCCCCTGCGCGCGCAGAGAGGCCGAAGTCCTGGTGGCGCGCGCGCGCCGGGGACCCGCGAGGGTTGAGCACGGGGTGCGATCGCTGCAGCCGCAGCTCGGGAGCTCGTGCGCCCTGCGCAGCCCGGGGCGGTCCCAGGCAGCTGAGGCGCCCGTGGGATCCCTACAAGGCGGTCTCAGCAGCGCCTGCCAAGGCGGTGCGATGCTGGGCCCGCCCGGGAGCCCGGGAAGGGAAAGCGGAAGCCGCGCGCCTGGTCGCTGACCGCGAGGACTTGGCGCCTCGCCCCGGCTGCCCGCAGCACCCGCGCCTGCCCTCGGCTGCCAGTCCCGCGCCGTGACCATGGCCATCGCCCACCTGGCCACGGAGTATGTGTTCTCGGACTTCTTGCTGAAGGAGCCCACCGAGCCCAAATTCAAGGGGCTGCGGCTGGAGCTAGCGGTGGACAAGATGGTCACTTGCATCGCCGTGGGTCTGCCTCTGCTGCTCATCTCGCTGGCCTTCGCTCAGGAGATCTCCATCGGTGAGGCCGGGGGCGCAGGGACAGCCTGGGCGAGGCTGGCATTGTTTGGGGTTGGCAGGGCCTGCTAAGAGGAGACCTCATTGCGCACAGACGGCATTTCTGCACGCCCCTTCTAATGTAGCCACCCTGGTCATACCGGATTTTGAGTGCATCTGGGTACCTCTGTCGACCCTCCTAGCATCCTCCCTCCAGTTCCTTTGTCTCCTGAGCCCCATGATTGTGGCTTGGAGTTCACGTCCAGCCTGTTGCCTCTACACGAGCCAAGAATAATTGTGCAGTCACCTACAATTTCACACCAAAGAAGTTCCTGAGTGGCTCCAGGGAGGATGTAAAGACAAGCGTTCCCTGTACAGGGTGCTGCTTCACTGTCGTGCTTCTCATTGGTACTTGAGTTCTGTCTTAGGGCTGTGTGCAATGGGGAGTAACTGCCCTTGGAGGTAGAAGAGGCCCTCCACCTAGGTTTTGCTATGAATGAAAGATGAAGAGATGGCCTAGTCCCTTTAATAAAAACTCTCATTTCATCTTAATGGTTATGTGAGGTCCGAAGTCTAGTGTTTGGGGCGGGATCCTGAGGCAGAGTGAGTGGTCTTATTTGCCAACTATCCTGACTTTGATAACCTGAGTGAGCGTGTGAATTGTAGGTTAGTGTAGGGGCACCAGTACTTGCAGGTGGGGCAGGACCTTGCAGAGTATCTGTGTCAGGGCGGGTGGAGTGTGGATAAGCCCAGATGAGATAGTTGCCAGGATTTTGAGATGACAGTTACAGTCTCTCAGAAGGGAAGCTCAGGGGCTGTGTGAGCCCAGAGCAAGGGACTTCCTGGGGGGCTCTAGGAGCTGAGGGCATATGGGCCTGGGTCAGATTACTACAGAGAGACAAATGCTCACTCACCTGGGATTGGGAGGCTGTTGATTGACAGAGTGGCCACAGCAGCACTCAATAAGTAATAGTGAGGCACCTGGGTTCTGGATGTAGGAGGGGAGATGGGGAATCTGGGCCCGTGAACGCCCTGAGCTGGGGCAAAGTTGAGGTCTTGTGCATGGGTGGGGGATGAATGGAGGAAGGAAGAGGCCGGGTCCTTCTGAGAGATGAGGGAGCAGTAGGAAGCACCTGGGTACCTAGATTTTAACAGGCTGTGGAGAGAAGAGAGTGGCCTTACACAAAGGCTGCCTGCACACCTTAGTGAGCAGAGGAGCTAGTTGAGGCAGGGCTTGGTCAGGAAAGCGCATGGCAAGTGTGGTTCTGTGACATGTGGCAGGATTGGTCAGTGTGGCAGAAAGTTGCTGGAGCAATGGTGCAAAGTAAGCTTTCGGTTTTCCTGGTTCTTGGGCAGGGATGATCCTGCTAAAAGGAAAACCACAGAATCCCTTGGGGGCTGATGATAGTCTCTGCCTTCCAGTGTGGGCTGAACCAAGTGCCGGGCGTCAAAACCCTGGGAATAAATGTCCCTGTGCTGAAGAAGGAAGTCTTGGACACTTGGTGTGGGCAGAGGCCAACAGGGAGGAGCTGATCCCCCTATTAGGAGGACTCCGGAGGCCCCTGTCGCCGGGGTCTGTTATGGGGTCTGTTATGCGGGTCCAGGTGGATGCAGTGTGTGAGCGGCACCTTGGGGGGCATGGAGGTGGGTCCAGCCAGCAAGGCTTTGCTTGGGCTGTGTGCGCGTGCTCTGCTGTCCGAGGCATGGTCCTCTCTCTGCTCGTGGGGATTTACCATTCAGCTGGACACTAGTCTGCTACCAGGTGACACCTGCCACCGGTGTGATGTCAGGATAGGGCAGCAGGAACTCTTGAGCACCAGGCTGGCTGACTCTAGGTGAATACTCAGACAAGCAGATGCCCTTGTCTTCTGAAGGGCTCAAGAGTTTTAAGGGGAAGGCAGGTGTGTGTGTATGAACTCAAACGAAGTCCTAGGAGATTAGCGTTCACAATCAGTGATTGATTTTGTGTAGTTTAACTGCGTGCCATCAAGGACAAAACACCCCCTCCCTCCCAAAAAGGAGTGAGAATGAAAATTGTAATCATTGTAATAACCCCAGTGTGCTGGCGAGTTTTATGAAAACTTGGCACAAGGGAGAGTCATTGGGAAGAGGGAACCTCAACTGAGAAAATGCCCCCACCAGATTGATAATTGATGTGGGAGGGCCCAGGTCCCTGGACAGTACTACCACTGGGTGCGTGGTCCTGGGATATATAAGAAAGGAGGCTGAGAAAGCCATGGGAACAAGCACTTCTCCATGGCTTCTGCATGAATTTCTGCACTGATTTCCTGCTCTGACTTCTCTCAGTGATGGAGGGGGGGCATCAGAACTGTGAGCTGAAATAACCCCTTTTATCCCCAAGCTGCTTTTGGTCACAGTGTTTATCACCCTTAAATGGAGCCATTTAAATGAAGCAGGTAGTTGGCCCACCACACGGTAGAGAGGACAGTCCCGGGAGTGTGGGGCAGGACTTGGCAGCTGCAAGCATGGCTGAGTGACCCTCTCCTAGCCCTCACCCTCCTCTCTGTTGTCTGGAATCCTGTCACATAGCCTGTCCTTGTGCCTGTCTCACCTGTTACATGCTTAGTCTTGTGTTGATGGATCCCTGAAGGCTGTAGAGGGTGCCATGGTCGAGGTGGCTTTGGTAGCTTTTGCAGCCCCCTGGGGCTGGGGCTGCTCACTGGCCCTAACTGACCCTACAATGGGGACAATTACAGACACAGACCCTCTGGAGGGAGCTGCTCAGGGATGCTCTTATCTTCCAAATCCTGGCTCACATTTTGAAGATTTTACTTGGATGGAATGTAAGAACTCGGGACTCCGTTGGGCAACTGCTGTGGTTATCCTAATGCTTCCGTTCTGCAGAAGGCAGTTGGAATGGGATTGTGAGCCGGGGGTTGAGAAGGGAGCATTGGCACCCAGTGCTCTACCAGCCGTCACCTTGCCTGTCTCACCTAGCTGTCAGTTTTCTGTGTGTGCTGGATATTCTAGAGAAAGCCTTGCGGTCCGTGCTCTGCCTTCTCTCCTGTCTGCTCTGATTTTCAGCCCACTGAGAGGTCCGCAAGGAGCTGCCGCTGCTGTGGAGATGCCTGCTGCCATGCCTCTCCTACCGGGAGGGTCTGTGAGCCAGCAATGAGCCAGTAATCCTCTCCCCTAGGTAGCTACAAATAGCTGAGGCTGTGTGTGTAAGCACGGACTGATATCAGCTTCCCAATAACAGTGCACCCTCAGCTCACACTCAGAATCAAAGAGCCGGGAAGAGGGTGTGGGGTCCAGGGAGGCCTCCTGCAGAGGTGTTTGACTTCATCCGTGTTTCTGGAGGATAAGTCGTCAATTCATAACCCTCTTCTCCTCTGCATCCACGTGTGTCCATCATGCGTGTTAAACAGGCCCCCCCCCTATGCCACAGAACCTGTTTTCTCCACTTATATATTTTGGAGTGCATTTTTTTTTTTTTTGTTTTT